CCGTCTCAAAAAAAAAAAAAAGAGAGTTTAATTCCAGTCTTGGCCTGTGGCTACTCAGGGCCTTCCAATCACCAAGTGATCTTGATAGCCATTAGCAAAGATGAACTTTTAAGCAAAAATAAATAAATAAAAAGTAAGTCAGTTGCTCATTCCTGAACCAAACACAGTGACCAAAGGGATGAAATGTGCCAATTGTCCAAGCTTGGGATTCTCAACCGCCTCTAGGATGAGTCCTGCTCCCCAACAAATCTTAAGTCCTGAGGAAGGGCAGAGCTCCAATGGAAAAGAATGAAGATTGGATGGTAGGCAAGCAAATAAACACAACAACAACAATAGTAATGATAGGTGTCCGCTACACCAAATTTCTGGTTGTGATTCTTGGCCACACTCCCCTCACCAGCTCAGGGTCCCGTTCAACAGGTAGGGTAGCATGGGCACCAATCATAGCACAATAATGAACTGTTGATTCTTTCTAGGAGATAAGAAAAAAACACACACTGAAACGGGATGTTGGAATAGGCTAAAGGCTTGACTTCATTTCAACACTTTTAATACCTACCTTTCTGTTTGCTTTTTAGTCTGTTTTATATTTTACCTAGTTCCTGTTACACCTGAAGTGCCATATCCAGAAGATAATATGACAACTTAGTAAAACAAATCATAATGAGGAAAGTCCTGTGTGCATTGGTTTAAGGATTAAAATGTCAAATTTTAAATGTTGATGGGTTCACATGATTTGTGCCTGAGGAAGACAGTAGAGCTGGAAGAGCAGGCAGAGTTGTGAGAATCAAGGAGTCTGGGCCATGGCATGAGGGACCAACTCCCAGCTAATAGAAGGAGCTTGTCCTCTCACTGTGTGAGGCTAGAATTTGGGCAAGAAGAGAAGGAATTCTGTCATTGCAGTTACCAACTTGATTCCAATTGAGGTTTTGCCACTTGCTAGTGATGCAGCCCATGGCAAAGTTAGTGAGAAGTAATAATGCCATTTCTTGAGCTAAATGTATACCAACTGCTTTAACCTTTAGGAGAACTTTGGAGGGGATGTATCGTTAAATTCCTTTTATCAAACGCTACCAGTGGCAAGACACGTAATTAATTTAATAATAGTTTTATAGGATAATGCTTTACAGGACATAAGCAGCCAGGTGCAGTAGCTCATGCCTGTAGTCCCAACACTTTGGAAGGCCAAGGCAGGAGGGTTGCTTGTTGCCAGGAGTTCCAGATCAGCCTGGGTAACACAGCGAGACCCCTTCTCTATTTAAAAAAAAAAAAAAATTAAATTAGCCTAATGTGGCATGTGCCTGTAGTCCCAGTTGCTGGGAAGGCCGAGGTGAAAGGACGGCTTATGTCTAGGAGGTCGAGGCTGCAGTGAGCTGAGATCACGCCACTGCACCACAGCCTGGGTGGCAGAGAGAGATCCTGTCTCAAAAAAGAAAAAAAAATACATAATCAATTATAAACACAACTCAATTTCAAACATTAAAATAAGAAGTGAAAATAAAAAGCTGCTTAAAACACCAAAAAATGGAGTATTGCCCCATTTTACCTACAAGACCGCCGAGGCCTAGCTAAAGAGTTTAGGCCATTTATCCATCCAAAGTCACACAGCTATTTGTGAATATGAGGCCAGAAATCTCATTCAGCTCTGTCTGATTTCCGTTCACCACATGGTACCTTCGGGGTCACAGTTCCTTGGTTTCCTCATATATAAAGTGAAAATGATAATAGACACCTCTCAAAATCATCACAAGAATCAAATGGTGTGTATAAAAACATGAGTGCCTCGAGACAGCTGGTGTTTATTATTCTTTTTAACAATAAAACAACCATAGACACGTGCCAAGTGAATAGAAAATAGGAATTTAAGGGAGATGGGCTAGGCAAGATAGGAACCAGGAGGACTTTGAATTAAGTTGACGTCTGCTTGGGCAGGAAATTCTTATAAAAATCCCCCAGAGAAAAGGTCAGTCCTAGGACATAGAAAATCCATATTATAAACTTGGGCTTTGATTAAGCTGTAGGTGCCAAGTACCACATTAAGATTGCTCAAATAGCCAAGAATTTTGCCCAGACTCGCCCAAATTAAACAATGAGTTTTTTCCAACTTTACTTGATAAGAATCAATCTCTTTATTAAACTGTTTAAACATAACTAAATGCAAAGTCAAAAGAAAGGACAGATGAAGTCTGAGCCAAGGTGGTGTAAATTCTGGCTCAATGAGGTGCTTTTTTCTCTATCCCTTAACTGTTACCCTTCCTAATCCCTTTCTTCTTTTTAGTCCCGTGCTCCACTTTATTTTCTTACTTTTATTTTTACTATTTATTTATTTATTTATTAGACCCAGGTTCTCACTCTGTCACCCAGGCTGGTGTATGGTGGTGTAATCATAGCTCACTGCAGTCGCAGACTCCTGGGCTCAAGTGATCCTCCTGCCTCAGCCTCCCAACCATGCACCACTTTAAAGACAAATTGCTTGGCAAGTGACACTGGTGTAAATGAAATAAAACAAAATAAAGTAAGGTAAAGAAGAAATGCTTATGTACTTAACTTGAGGCCAAGAGTCTTTTTTTTTTTTTTTTTTTTTGAGAAGGAGTCTCGCTCTGTCACCCAGGCTGGACTGCAATGGCGCCATCTCGGCTCACTGCACCCTCCACCTCCCGGGATCAAGCAATTCTCCTGCATCAGCCTTCTGAGTAGCTGGGGCTACAGGCGTGCACCACCATGCCTGGCTAATTTTTTGTATTTTTAGTAGAGATGGGGTTTCACCATGTTAGCCAGGATGGTCTCAATCTCCTGACCTCGTGATCCACCTGCCTCAGCCTCCCAAAGTGCTGGGATTACAGGCGTGAGTCACCGTGCCCAGCCAACTCTTTTCTTACTACAAGATACACCCAATCAACTGACTCAATCTGTATTACTTGCTGTAATTACTTTCCTTCTCCTAACTTGCCTTTGTTGCTGTTTCTAGTGCTGTTTTGCTTCCGTCCATTTAAAGAGACTGTGCCCCTTTAAAAAGGATGGAAAAACCACACGTTTCCGTCTTTCAAGGCTGTGCTCATTCTCCGGTGTAATAAAATTTGTTGGGCCTTCTTTATGGTGGGCATCTGTATCCATTTCCTAGGGCTCCTATAACAAATTAACAAAATAGCAGCTTAAAACAATGGAAATATATTCTCTCACAGTTCTGGAGGCCAGAAGTCAGCAATCAAGGCGGCAGCAGGGCCATCCCCCATCTGGAGTCTCTAGGAAGGAATCATTCCTTACCTCTTTCAGCTTTCTGGTGGTTGCTTGCATTCCTTGGCTTGTAGACACATCCCTTCAATCTCTGTCTTCACATGACCTTCCCCTACACTTTCCTCTTCTTATAAAAGCACCTGTCATTGGATTTAGGGTCTATCCAGTAAATTTGGTATACTCTCATCTTGATATCCTTAATTACATATGCAAAGGCCCTTTTCCCAAATAAGGTCGTATTCACAGAGGGTAGGGACTTGTACATATCTTTTCAGGGGCCGCAATTCAATCCACTACAGCATCCAAGTCAAAGAGTTATCACTTTTAATCTAATAATACCTTAATCCTGTAATTGATTTTCCTTTTCACTCTCTGTGTTTTTTGTTATGAGTATGTATTTTCTATATAATGGAATAAAAGAACACTTTTAAATGTATAATTATTTAATGCTTCCTAGTTTCCAATATTTGAACATCACTCAGGAGTTTATGAGTGATGTTCAATATCACTCCATCTATATCTTCTTAGATGCTCCCAGTGACACTATGTGATGGGCCTAACAAACATGATCACTTGAGAGATACAGAATCTGAGGCTCAGAAACTTGTCCAAAATCTGGGTGGTTTTCGAAATCATCTTTTCATTATACATCAGACAACAAAGAGTGACTTTTTTTTTTGAGAGGGAGTCTCGCTCTGTTGCACAGGCTGGAGTGCCGTGGTACAGTCTCGGCTCACTGCAACCTCTGCCTCCCATGTTCAAGCGATTCTCCTGCCTCGGACTCCTGAGTAGCTGGGATTACAGGTGCACACCACCACGCCTGGCTGATTTTTGTATTTTTAGTAGAGACAGGGTTTCACCATGTTGGTCAGGCTGGTCTCGAACTTCTAACCTCGTGATTCGCCCGCTTGACCTCCCAAAGTGCTGGGATTACAGGTGTGAGCCACCATGCCCAGCCGAGTGATTTTTTTTTTTGTTATAAATACATACAGAACATGCTCATCTTGAGTATTAACCTTGACAGAAGTGAGAAAAGCTGTACAATCGCCAGAATGCTTATGTCCTCTACAGAACTCCTGTGCTGAAATCCTAACCCTCAAGGTGATGGTGTTAGAATTGGGGGTTCGGGGGACGTGATTAAGTCATGGGGCTCTGCCATCATGGGATTAGTGCCCTTATAAGGAGACACCCAGAAAGCTAGCTAGTCCTTTCACCCATGTGAGGACATAGGGAGAAGACAGCCACCTACAAATCAGGAAACTGGCCCTCACCAGTCACCAAATCTGCCGGCACCTTGATCGTGGACATCCCAGCCTCCAGAGCTGTGAGAAATACATGTTGTTTATAAGCTACCAAGCTGTGGTATTTTATAGCAGCAGGAACTAAGATAACCCAGTAGCATTTAGTCTTTAGGACTTCATTCGCTTACTCAATGCAATGGCATCTGACACATATTTGGAAAACATTTATTTGTAGTCATCTGGTCAAAACATAACTCTGACCACTAGTAGCTCATTCTTACATAGTTCTGAAACAGTGATAGTGTGTGAGTGGTTTTCATGAATATTTTCTCTCCTTCTGAAATTGAGGAGGACCTACCTATGTGAGCCAGGGCTTCCAACGAAAACGGTAGAGCCATGTGGGCTTCAGATAAATAGGTGGGCTCAGTTCAGTAGGAGGACTTCCAGAAAGATAACCTAGAGAGGACCACTTTGCAGAACGCACAAAAGATGTGCTTCTAGAAGGACTATGAGTGCTGGAAAGCTGGAATGAGGGTAGAAAATAACAACTATTACCGTTCCATGAACCTTATAGAAAACAAATACAATTGTCCTGAGTAGTGTACATTTTTGACTACTCTGGAATGCAATATTTTTTCCAAGTGGGCAAACCCTTGATGGTGTTGATTCAGTTTTGTGTTTGCCTCTAATAATAAAAGGGAAGTGGGAGATTTCTTGTGGTAGGTAGCCCAACCATTCATCTAAAGATTTGGTGTGTAGGTGTGTGTGTTTACTTTGAAAGATTCCCATTTAATCATTTATATTGATTATATATCAATTTATAATCATTATGTATCTTATATATAAGATAGTACCATTTAATCATTTATATTGACTTTAAAGAAGCAAACAACATCTATGTGAAAAGTTAAATTTATCATACGATACATTGAGAGATGGCTTCAGAAGTCTCCCATTTAAAAGAAAACAATGATTTGCCTAATCTCGATCACATCCAGTATGCATGGAACAGGAGATCACAGAACCAGAGATGAAATAATAGCGCCTGCTAGGTCCTTTGAGAGGTACATATATTATGAGGGGGAAATTTCTTCAGTAAATAGAATGCAGTGCACGTTTCTGTGTGTTCTCTGTTATCTGTGCCTCTCTCACTTCTTACTTTCTATCTCTCTCCCTCTCTCTCTCTTTCTCTCTTCCCCCTTTCCTCCACCCCCCCTAAATGCAAGCCAAGAGGCTATGCAGACTCACCTGGCCTCCATTTCAGCAGTCTACACGTGCACAATGTCATACCCTAGGATTTTTTAAGAAGAAAAAATGACTTCTTAAACACAAGACATTAGTTATTATCACAGGTTGCAACCTAAAGGAAGTTTCTATAATGACCGTAAGCATGCTCAGCAGAAGACCAGTCGCACTGGCTCCGATTGGGAAGGGGTCCCGCAGAGTGATAGCAATGCCTGGATCCTTAGCATGAATACTGTTGGTACCTCTTCCAAATCCTCTTTTCCGGGCCAGTACACTCGTTCCCCACCTGCCAGGAATGGTGGTTGCTGAGAGCTCACAGCTGCTGTTCTCCAGAGAATTGCTCTTGGCCAAACGGAGGCATCTGGCAACAGAGATTACACCCTACCCTACTACCCCAAGGCCGACCAAAGTCAATGACTGACGGGTTCCCTGGGTAGAAAGGCAGGCCCTTGCCTCAGGATGTGACTGATGGTGTCTTGCAATCAAGTTGCAGAGTTCCCAGCAAGATCTGGCTGAAGCTAGTCTCCAAATGAGACGCTCTCCCTTTTTTTTTTTTTTTTTTTTTTGAGACAGAAGCTCGCTGTTGCCACGCGCCAGGCTGGGGTGCAGTGGCGCAACCTCGGCTCACTGCAACTTCCACCTCCTGGGTTCAGGCAATTCTCCTGCCTCAGCCTCCCGAGTAGCTGGGACTACAGGCATGTGCCACCACGTTCAGATAATTTTTTTGTATTTTTAGTAGAGACGGGGTTTCACCATGTTGGCCAGGATGGTCTCGATCTCTTGACCTCGTGATCCGTCTGCCTCCACCTCCCAAAGTGCTGGGATTACAGGCGTGAGCCACTGCACCAGGCCTACGCTCTCCTTTTTTAAGGGCTTTCCTCTGTTCCAGTCTTCTTCCCTCACTCTGTTCTCTTCAGAACACTCCCTCAATAAACACTTGCCCAAAAATAGCCGTCTAGGGTTCTGCTTTTAAGACCTTGGCAAAGACATGTCTTCATGTGGATTGCAAGAGCAATCCTAGAAAGCAGAAATGCTGCCTCTTCCCAACACCCCATCAAGAGGACCTGCATGCCACTCTGACCTCTCACCTCTACCCTAAGAGGGTTCTCCCTCTCCCTTACCCTTGTGGCCAGTGAGCACCAAATAAAGCCTCTGTCTCCTCAATGTTTCATCATTCCAAGTTCTCCCCAGTCACCAGGCTCTCTTGACTTCTAGGTAAATGTTACTTCCTACTAACTTGTCTTCCTAACTTTAGGTCTATTAGCTATCTGCTTGTATCTTTCTGAGTGACAGATATGATCATGTTTCTCTTCCTGAGAAACTCTCATTGGCTACCTTATTACTATCGGAGTGATAATAATAATAGCCACCCTTTACTGTCTACTAAGTGATGTCCATTCATTATCTTATCCTGTGGAGTAAAACTGCAACAAAGTTAGAATTTTCCCCCTTTTGGAGGGAAGAACACTGAGCTGAAGGAAGGCTGAGGAATTCACCTAAGGTCGCACAGCTAATAAAGGGAAGATCAGGAAAGAATTCTAGCTGACTTCAAAGCCATGCTCTTAATCTCATCATTAAGTTTTCTCTCAATAAAATCCAGACCCAGTATTCTGGCTTTCAAAGCCCTCTGTGGACGAGACCCAAAATAGGTTTCCCAGTTTATCTCCTGCTTTCCTCACACTCCTCATCCCAGCTATCCCAGGTAACCTGCCATTCCTCAAACACACTTTGAACATCCCCCTGCCATACTCCTGCAGTCTTATCGGACTCAAAGGCCTTTTGTCCACACTTCTACCTATCACACCTTTGTGGCAGACTGTATTTTCCAAGGATGGCTGCAACAATATCTCCCATCCCACATTCTCTTCTACAACGTGACTTTGACCCTCCTCCCATTGAGAGGTGGGGCCTACGGTCCCTCCTTTCGAATCTGAGCTGGCCTTTGTGACGCTCTCATTTCCAGTAGAATGTGGCAGAAGTGACGCCACATGATTTCCAAGAGTAGGTCAGAAAAGTCCATGCAACGTTTGCCTGACACCACCATGCCAAAGGGGCCATGTATAGGCACTCCAGTTGGCACAGCAGCTCAGTAGAGCTCACGGCTGACAGCTGCTGTCAGTGTGCCATCTTGGACACTCAGCCACTTGAGTCTTCACAGGACACCTGATTGCAATCACTTAAGACATCCCAAGCAGATCATGCCTGTAATCCCAGCACTTTGGGAGGCTAAGGCAAGTGGATCACGAGGTCAAGAGATCGAGACCATCCTAGCCAACATGGTGAAACCCCGTCTCTACTAAAAATACAAAAATTAGCTGGGCATGGTGGCGTGTGCCTGTAATCCCAGCTACTCAGGAGGCTGAGGCAAGAGAACTGCTTGAACCCAGGAGGCGGAGGTTGCAGTGAACCGAGATTGTGTCACTGCACTCCAGCCTGGCACCTGATGACAGAGCAAGACTCCGTCTCAAAAAAAAAAAAAAAAGACACCCCAAGCAGCAACAACTGCTCAGCTGAGACCTTCCTGAATTCCTGAATGCAAAATTGTGAGCAAACTAAAATGATTCTTCAATACCACTAAGTTTTGGGGTAAATTATTATACAACCATAGCAATCATGATAGCTCCACAAACTTCCAGTGCCCTAATTAAATGACATTTCCTGGAGGAAGCCTCTCTAGCAGGAATTTCTACCTTCTTTAAACACTCTTAGCATTCAGCTTCTCAAATATATCACCTATTCCAGTTGGCCTTATGTAATAGTTATTTGTGTGTGCTTGTCTTTTCCTTTCATTTCACACATCTTGAGGGTAGGAACAGTTCAGCTTTGACATTTATTTCTCTTTATATTCCATAACCACTAAGTCAGTGCCTGGTATCACGAAGACATTCAATAAATATTTGTTGTCCTGCACTAAATTGGATAGGAAATATCTTATTCTCTACCAACAGGAGAAAGCTGCAAATCTCTAGGCTTAATGGAGCTAACAGCCTTCTGCTGTATATCAGACCCAGATAAAAGAATAAAACTTACCAATAAAAAGTGAAAAGCCTCCGTTAAATGGGAGAGATGGTACAGTGTCATATCATTGAAAACGATGGGTTCCACCAGCTGAGTGACAATGTCAGCTCTAGCGCTTACTAGCTACGTAATCTTGGTGAGCTACCTCTCATCTGGGAACCTCAGTTATCTTCTCCATAAAATGTATCAATACTGCCCACTTCCTAGAGTTGTCCTGAGGAAAAAATGAGATAATTTTGTAAAGCACTTAATTTGAAGCTTCAATAATAATCCCTCAATAAATGGTAGCTATTCGAGTTATAGGTAGTGGGCCTACATTAAAATTCTTGGGACATCAATTTCATAGTTTCATTCTTTTCTACACAATGATTTGACAGGTAAATAACTAAAAGCTGTGTGTAACACTCCTTTTAAATATACCCGCAGACCATGAATAATTCTTTCCCAGACCATTTGTCCTGGTTTTTGCTGAAAAAAAAAATATGATCACCAAACCTACAGACCACAGAACCAAAATCGACTGTCCTAGTTGGGTCACCTCTGTGCTGTGAGTACCTCCATACAAAGGCCAGGTTTAATCACTCTCTCACACCACAGTAGTGCTCAGAGAAAGGAGGGTATCTTAAACTGGGTTTGGGTGCCAGCTTCTGTTCTGATAATACTGACCTCAATTTGTTGCCAGGGTAACTTGGACTGCAGATAATGCTCCCTAGCTAAGGACACTAGATGAGGCAAGACCCCAAAAGTGGCATATGGAAGCAAAATATGGACCCTTCCAAGTGATGTGCAGCTCCAGGGCTTAACAGTTACACTGTTGGATTCCAGGAGGTGCCATTCATATAGAAGACAATGTAGCAGCATCCCTTGTGTTATATATAAAGTATTGGTGCCACAAAAGAATTAGCACTCCAATATAAATTTCCTCAGCAAGGCAATTTACTTCTATAGAAGGGTGCATCTCACAGATGGAGTAATGGTGAGTGCACACGTAGACAAGGGAGGGGAAGGGGTTCTTATTCCTGATGCAGGTAACCCCAACTGCTGTGTTATTCCCCTATTGTCTAGTGTTAGCCTGCACAATCTAGTCTAATTCCAATTGGCTATTTTAAAGAGAGCAGGGGTACGAGGGGGAGTGGTGGGGTGGGTGGTTTGGTGGGAAGGACAGTTATGGAACAGGTCAGAGCAAGTGACCAGGAGTGACTCAGATCAAAGAAGGTGACCAGGGGAATGGATGTGAACTACTGATTAGAACTGGTGGGAAAGTTGTTTTCCAAAACTGGAGGCAAGGGGGAGAAGAGAAGCAGGAAGTTAAACTTTGAAATGGAGAATTAAAGAATAAGAGAGCTGAACGTACTGACATACTGATTCTTTGAAGAGAAACTTGGAGTCCACTTTATCTAACACTTGGAGTTGTACACCTTGGCCACCTGGATCCTGGTGAATTCTCCGTGTGCTATGTGTGCCCTTACCCAATCTGCCTTCCCTATTGCTGAAGAAAAAAAAATTAGGAGGATACTTTATTCCTAACCTGCATCTTTAAGTTCTCTAAAGCATGAAGTACCGAGGGATTCTTTATTCTAGGAAACAGGATAAATAATTTGTGCAATGATTATTTTATAAGCCATGAAGACGTACTCTCAAATTATTATCTAACATGAAAGGCTCAAAACAGATCTGGTTTTCTTGGGTTTTTTTTCATAACAGAGAAAACTCTTTCAAGCTAAACTTTTCTTAAACAAATGTTCCAATTTTCTTTTCTCAAAAAATTCCCTTTCCTCCACCAAAACAAATAAGCAAATAAACTTGCTCATGGCCCTACCCATTATACAACATCAACACTGACGAGCAGGCCAGCAGTGGGAAGATAATGAAAGAAGACAATTTGAAACTTCCCCCCAAAATGAGTTTAAGCATAATAAGGGTTCTGGAAAAAAATAATCCTTGGCTTTGTTGTTAATGTGTGCATTTTGTATTATGTGCAGGGATTCCTTTGGGTGGCTTCGACAATGCCAAGCCAACGCTGAAGTTTAAAGCTGAACTACACTCAAATAAACCCAGAGGCAATGTGCTCGCAGAATGGAATCTCCTACCACTGAGGGTCTGGGAAGAGTTTGCTTAAGTCCATCCTAATTCCTTCTGCTCCAGCTTTTTTCTGTTTTCTTTTATGTTGTCCTCAGTGGAAATAGGGAAACTTCTCACCATCAAAACCCTTTGCCATATAGGGAGTTCATTCTTCCTCTTGGGTACGAGTAATTAGATTTCTGAGCATTTGCCTGAAGAGAAAATCCTGCACCCAAATGCTCCAGCGTTTTTTTATTGGCTGTTTACAGAAGCCCCTGGGTGTACCGAGAGATGGAGGCATCGGGTGAGGTGGGGGTGGGGTGGGGGGGCGAGGAGGAGGATGTAGGGATCTTCGTTAGTGTAGTGGAATCGGCCAATGTGAAGATGTGGTGAAAATTAGGGCTGCTGGCATGCGAAGACCAGGACCCCTTCTCCCAGGCTTCCTTCTTCTGCACTAAACCTACTTCCCTAGCACTAAAACCTTTCACGGATTATGATGGTAATCCATGAGGGTCCTCCGACAATAATAACCACCATTCGTACTACTACCTTTTCAATACCCTTTACAGAACCCCTAGCAGGGACCAACACATCAAATCGTCATAATAACTTTTCAAGATAGGTATTAATATTACTGTTTAACTGAAAATGCAACTGAGACTCAGAAAGATAAGATCACAGAACCAGAAGTTGGCAGAGCTGGGATTGGATCCACAGTCTACCAGACCCCAAAGCCCAAAGCAGGCTGACCCTGGCTTCCGCAAACCATGTGGGCTTGATCAAGTTTGGACCCATAAGCAGAATCTCCCTTATGGGTCTCAAATGCTTTCTTTTCATCTAGGTATTCCATGCTTTGTCAAGATTTCAGAAAAAAATACACCAGTCCTTATATCCTATTATATCCTAAAATATACTAAGCCTGTCTAACCCGCCCCTTTCCCATGGCACTCCCCACCATCTACTTTTCAACACTCCGTGACACCCACAGCAAGTAGAAAGGCCATGTGGTCAGTGTCCACACGCCTGTTGAGATGGAAACATAACTTATTTAAGCAGACACGTATCCCTGTTCCTCTGGAAACAAACAAATTTAAAAAAGAGTATGGGTACACAACACCAAATGTCCCATCACCAAAATAAGATGCAGCATAGATTCATTGTTTCATTAATGTTTTTTTAAATTGTATTTATTTACTTATTTAAGAGACAGAGTCACAGTGTCGCCCTTGCTGGAGTGCAGTGGCTATTCACAGGCACTACCACAACTCACTACAATCTCAAACTCCTGACCTCAAGTGATCCTTCAACCTCAACGTCCCAAGGAGGCTGACACATGCCACCATGCCCAGCAGTTTCACTAATATTTGAGAGCAATTTGGATGATAAGGTTTTCCTTAACACTTTCTTACATTGCTAGGATGAGCCTCAATTGGTGCAGTCTCTATGGAGGGCAATTGAGCAATATCTACAAAATATATAAAAATCACATGTGCGTACATCATTTGTCTTAGACTGAGCTTCCTAGAAACGGAGGCTGAGACAGGGACTCTGTACAGATGACTTATTGAGGAAATGTGCTCAGGAGAAACCTGCAGGCGAGCAAAGGAAGCAGGATGGCAGAGGCAGGAGTTAAAGCAAAATGTGGGTTTAGAAGCCTAGTCTCAGCCTGATCCCACAAGAAGCTCTTGAGTGAAAACTGCACCACAGAAATTGTTTTGTCCAGAGACAAGAAGGCTGGGCTCTTATACCCATGCATCTGTTAGTCATTGGCCAAGGGCTTTCCCCAGAAGTGTGTGTAACTTTCTTTTTTTTTTTTTTTTTTTTTTTTCATTATTGTACTTTAAGTTCTGGGGTACATGTGCAGATCATGCAGGGTTGTTGCATAGGTGCATATATAACCAGGCGGTTTGCTGCCTCCATTCCCACTTTATCTATATCCAATGTTTCTCCCCATGTTATCCCTCCCCACCCTCCCCACCCCCCACTGTCCCTCCCCTAGCCACCGTCAACTGACCCCAGTGTGTGATGCTCCTCTCCCAGGTCTTCATGACTAAAACACCAAAAGCAATGGCAACAAAAGCCAAGATAGACAAATGGGATCTAATTAAACGTCAGAGCTTCTGTACAGCAAAAGAAACAATCATTAGTGTGTGTAACTTTCAAGACATCTCCAGGTCAGGCAGCAACTGTGAGCCAATAGCAGTTCCCTAGAAAAGGAAGCAGCTGTGAGCTTTCAGCAACCAACATCTGTTGCAGCTGGAGAATAGGGATGCCACCCCTGTAAAAGATCTGGGCCAGCCGTCAACAATACCTACCATCATTTGACCCAGCATTTTCACATCTAATCATTTATCCTCAGATATGCTTGCACTTGTGCTAAGCAATGCATGTGCAAGTTTGTTCATCACAGTACTGCTTATAATATGAAAAGGCCCATTAACAAGCAACTAGTGAATTACATTGTGCTACATCCATACAATAGAATATTAGGTGAATGTGAAAAAAATAAGGAAACTGGACAGTCCCAGTGGCTCATGCCTATAACCCCAGCAATTTGGGAGACCAAAGAGGGAAGATTGCTTGAGTCCAGGAGTTTAAGACTAGCCTGGGCAACATAGTAAGACCCCCATCTCTACAAAAAAATTTGTTTTCAATTAGCTGGGCATAGTGGCACATGCCTGCTGTCTCAGCTACTCAGGAGGCTGAGGCAGGAAGATCCCTTGAGGCACAGAGGTCGAGGTTACATGGAGCCACGGTCACGCCACTGCAATCCAGCCTGGGCAACAGACCAATACCCTGTCACCAAAAAAAAAAAAAGGAATCTTTCCACATATGGATATGGAATGACTTTATATGAAAAAAGCAGGGCACAGAATACAATATGCACAGTATTTTACTATCTGTGTTTTCAAAAATATGTATGTGTATATATCTTCTGTGTCAGCATATATATATATATACACACACACAAACAGAGCACACACACACACATATATATGCATTTGCTTATATATGCTTAAGTTAACCCTGGAAGGATAGATAAGAAACTGGAAACACTGTGGTTGGTTTTCAATGTATATCACTTAGTACTTTGTGAATTTAATATTCTATATCTTAGTCCATTTGGCTGCTATAATAAAACATCTTAGATTGGATAAATTATAAAACAAATTTATTTCTTACAATTCTAGAGGCTGAGAAGTCCAAGATCAAGTCACCAGCAGATTCAGTGTCTGGTGAGGGCTTCCTAATTCAAAGACAGCACCTCTTGCTGTGTACTTACATGGCAGAAGAGACTAATACTGTGTTCTCACATGGCAGAAAGGCAAAAAGGGATGAACTTGCTCCATCAAGCCCTTTTATGAAGGCATCAATCCCATCCATGAGACCAGAGCCCTCATGGTCAAAACAACTGTCAAATACCTCTTAATACCATTGATCTTAGGGTTTAAGTTCCAATATATAAATTTTGGAGGAATACATACATTCAGACCATAGCTCTATATTAATATATTACCTATTCCAATGAAATGAGTGAAGATGGATGAATGGATAGATACATAGATAGATAATTGATAAGTAGATAGACAGATAGATAACCGATTTGCCACGAGACTCAGCCAGGAGTTTCTGCCACTTGTTTGACAACAACCAAAAGGACATTTAAAATCCCAATTGTTGGCCGGGCACGGTGGCTCATGCTTGTAATCCCAGCACTTTGGGAGGCTGAGGTGGGTGGATCACCTGAGGTCGGGAGTGTGAGGCCAACCTGTCCAATGTGGAGAAACCCCATCACTACTAAAAATACAAAATTTGCCGGGTGTAGTGGTGCATACCTGTAATCCCAGCTACTCGGGAGGCTGAGGGAGAAGAATCACTTGAACCCGGGAGGTGGAGGTTGCATTGAGCCGAGGTCTTGCCATTACACTCCAGCCTGGGCAATAAGAGCGAAACTCCGTCTCAAAAAAAAAAAAAAAAAAAAAAAAAAAAAAAAAAAAAAAAAAAACTCTTTTCCTATTCAGAAGTAACTGCCTTCTCAATTTTTGCTAATATAGACCCCGCATTTTCTTTAACCAATAACCTATTATTTATTTTCTGATACTATATTTCAGATCTTCCTCCCATTCCTATTCCTCATATATCCCCATGGAAGTTTGATTTCTTTATCAAGATGAGATCAACCAGCTATTGGAACTGTAATAGACTTTCATTCTGAATTGAGCCAAGCTATGGTCCTAAGCTATAACTGAAGGCCAGCACTTACTAAAATGTATTCAACAGGGTGCTAATTCCATCACTTCAATGCTAACAAGTATCTCAAGACAAAATGGCTCTGTAGCTAGATCAGTTTAGGTTAAATAGATGTCTATGCTGCAGAATTTATCAGCGCCTTTAATGTTACCATGTGCATTTCTTTTTTTTTTTTTTAAGAGGGAATCTCACTCTGTCACCCAGGCTGGAGTGCAGTGGCACGATCTCGGCTCACTGCAACCTCTGCCTCCTGGGTTCAAGCGATTCCTCTGCCTCAGCCTCCCGAGTAGTTGGGACTACAGGCACATGCCACCATGTCCAGCTAATTTTTATATTTTTAATAGAAACGGGGTTTCCCTGTATTGGCCAGGCTAGTCTTGAACTCCTAACTTGGTGATCTGCCTGCCTCGGCCTCCCAAAGTGCTGGGACTACAGGTGTGAGCCACCACGCCTGGCCTACCATGTGCATTTCAAATCTCCTAAAGATACAGAATTTCCCCCAAAATTATTTTATTGCAGAATTGGAGAAGGGCTCAGC